CAAAAATTAAAGCAATTGATTTAAAATTTTACTATTTTTATTGGCCAAACATTTAACCCTAATCGAGTTTAGTTACAAAACCATTCATCCCTACCTTCTTCCCCCACTTCACCTTCTTCTTCCTTTTGTTCTCTTTACTCTTCTTCTCCGACACCAATGATATCTTCCTCCTTGTCTCTTCTTTGGCATCAATGATCTCTTCCCTCTCCCTTCATTGGTGCCCTCTTCATCTCTTCTCTATTTGTCTATCTCTTCTTCCCCTTCTATTTTATCCCATCACCAATCTCCCATATGGCAAATCGACTAGGTTAGATTCATTGCATAAGAACCTAGATTTGCCCACAAATATCCCATAGATTGATGATGTTGCTTTGAAAATGAAGTCTCCATTCTTCTACAGTTAGATTAATTTGTGCTTGTTTTGCTTGATTTTGTGGCCAAAATTCTCCTCTTAGCTGTTGAAGGTTGGGAGAAGAATTATTGTTTTAATTGTAGTTTTGGTGGCTAAAACTATAGTTTGAGAATGTGTATATGTTTCTTGATGTGTTTTGAAAGGTTGAATTTGATTTTGGGTGAGGGTGTAAAGACTATTATGGAGTTTACTGGGCCAGCTCAAAAGCATACACGTGATAGAGCACGAACATATATAAGGAGAAGGAGAGAAGGAGATGCCAGAGAATGAGAGAAAGAGATGTTGGACAAGGGAGGGATGAGAGCATATTAATTAAGCATGGGCCCCAATGTATTTAATTTAATTTACTAAGAAAGCTATGATAATTGCACATTAAAAAAAGAGAATAGTGTAAGGAAGCTCATTCTCCTAAAATTTATTTTGGAGAATTTGTCTAAAAATCTATATTTTAATTAATATTCTTAAAAATCGATGGTTGGATTGAAAATTTTATTCATATAAATCATACATGTCAATTTTTATATTAATGTAGCACTATAATCTTTTGATACAAAAAACTCTATTTACTAACATATATTTAATTGTATTAAATTTTTTATAATCAATGAAATAATTAAGCTTATTAAAATAATTTAAAAATTAGCATGCATGATTTATATGAATATAACTTTTAATTTGGCAGTTGACTTTTAAAAATATTAATTACAAGATAAGTTTTTAGACATATCGTTTAAAAAAATTTAAGAGAACGACTTGCAAAACACTTTTTTTTCTTAAAAACATAATTAAGGTAAGATAATAATTAGCATTAGAACACCCATTTAATTAAAGTGAGTGAGTACTACTATCTTTAAATTATTTATTAAATAATTAGTATCAAAATTTACAAGGAAAGTCTTATGTGGAAAAGAAAATTATTCATATCAATAATAAAATAAGGTTTTTTTTAATATGTACCATAAACTTAAAAATTAAAAATGTAATAAATAGATACTTTTACCATTAATTTGTGTTAAGATAATAAAAATTGATATTTAATTTATTAATCATCTAATTAAATTTATTCACCTGATAATAATAGTAAAA